TTTTTTTTTTTGCGGAACAGGGGATTGAACTCAGGCCCCTGCGTTTGCCAGGCAAGCGCTTATTCCACTGAGCCATTTCCCTGGTCCCTAAATTTTATATTTGACCCTGGGTGCCAATCCCCAGATATTTCACTATGTATATGCAAAGCCTGAAATATTTCTGGTTCACACATTCCAGAGTGAAGATTCTCAATTTATACATATTTATCAATTTGTTTGGGTCCTACTGTTTGAAATACACATTTCATATAATATATAATGTGTCCAAGTCCACTTGCACACATCACTGCGCCCTTCCCGGGGCTGCATGTGCCCTACGGCAGGGTACTCTGGCTCCTCCCATCCTCACACAAGCTGTGATCATCTACTACACTGCACTGCTATTTTGAAGACAAGGTCATCTATCTGGCCAACTGGAGAAAAACAAACCAGCATCTGTCTCACTTCACCTTCACTTATTCCTTCTGTAATGCTCTTCCTTTTTTATACAGATCTGAACTTCTAACCTATATCATAATTCTCCCTGAAGAAAATTTTCTTTTAATTTTAGGGACGAAAAATAAAAATAAATAAATAATTTATTTTAAGGAAGGGTCTACAGGGTGTTGAGGGTCTCACTACTAGATCAGACTCATAGTGATCCGCCTGTTTACAGCCTCCTGAGAGCTGGGATTACAGGTACGCCCCATCACGCCCAGTCTCAAGTGCAGTCTCAGCGCACCCCGGGGGCAGGGCTTGCACGGCAGGCATGAAGAAATTTTTAAAATATTACTTGCACAATATCCCATGGATACCCATTCCCTCAGTTTCTGTTTATGTTAGAAAATCTTGGGCCCAGGGAGATGGCTCAATAGAATAAGCACTTCCCTGGCAAGCGCCATGGCCTGAGTTCAATCCCCCGTTCCACCAAAAGAAAAAAAAATCTTTCCTCCTCACTTCTGAAGGATAATGTTACTGGAAGAATTTTATGCTGCTTTTTTTTTTTTCTTTTAACACATTACTGCACTTTCTTCTTGCTCATATAGTTTCCCACAAAATGTGGAATATGATTCTTTTTTTGTGTGTGGCCGGCTCAGCCTGCCCTGGGTGTGGGGCTGGCATGGCATGTTGTGCGGGGGATCGAACCACGGTCCCTGCGCTTGCCTAAGCAGGCGCTTTAGAAAACTGAGCTACACTGCCAGCCCAGAATGTGGTTCTTATCCTTGCTTCTCAATATGTTAGGTGCTTTCTCCTTCTGGCTTCTAATAAGATTTTCTCACTGTTTGCCTTTTTGCAGTTTGAATAAAATATCCTCAGGTGTGATTATTTTTTTTAGCAGTGATCCTTATTGGTCACCTCTGAGCCTTCTGGATCTATATAGCTCAATATTTACTATTTATTTTGGGAAATTATCAAACGTAACTTCAGGAAAACTATGAAATGAGAAAAATCAAGTGAATTCTAAATAATTACAAAGTCAGAGTGTTTGGTCTGCAGTTAGGTCTTTAGAATAAAAATCCTGAATAATTTATTCTGCCATTTCCTCTCTCCTAACATTACTGTTTATTCCACAAGTGACTACAAGTATCAGCGCATTACGGCACTGCACTAGCTGCTAGAAATAAAAACATTAAAAAATATAAAGGTTCTACTTTTGAGGAATTCAGTCCACTGGGAGAAAGACACCCAAAGGCAGATGACTCAATACAATGTCTGAAGGCCCATGGCACAGGGAATCCTGAGAAAACATCCACCCAGGGGAGCCAAGTTTCTGAGAAATTTTCTTGATAGTTTGATACTTGGTTGCAGTCTACACACATGTACCCAAGTATGCACGCACACAGGCAAGCATCCAAGCACGCATGCATGCACAGCATGGGCACTGTGTCTAGCAGGGCAGTGACACTTACATTCTAAAAATACCAGGAAAGCAAGTACAAGCAGACTGTGAGAGCCTACCTCAGATTCTAAATTTAAGAATTTGCATTTCTCACAAGTTCTGTGATAGGAGATGGATGCAATGGGAGGTGGAAAGAAGCCAGATCCTGGATGGAATTTCCTGCTGGGCCACACCAAACAGGCTGTACTCACCCAGAAAGCCACCAGTGAGGGATGGAGTGTGGGTTTTAGCCTGTTCAGATTTACGGGCTTCTTTCCACCTCCCATTGCATCCATCGCCTATCACAGAACTTGTGAGAAATGCAAATTCTCAAATTCAGAATAAGGTAGGCTGTAGCAATCTGCTTGTACTTGCTTTCCTGGTAAATTGTAGAATTTAATTTTTTCTGAACTGTGCCTGTGTAGTTCACAGTGGCTGGGTGTGGTCCTCAAGGTCACGGTCCATTTCACTCTCTTCAGCTAGGTACCACTTCCTGTCTGTGTCACCTCTCTGTAAAGCCACTGGATCATTTTGCCTGTTCAGATTTTCTTCCTCTGGCTCTCTCACCTGCTCTGCTCTCTGGCTACACTGAGGTGAGCAGCATGAGGTTCTGCCTCATCTCGCCCTCAGCAATGGAACCAGTTGACCATGGACTGCTGCCTCTGAAACCATGAGCCAAAATACTCCTTCCTCTTAAACTGTTTTCTCAGGTATTTGGTCATGGCAACGAAGACTCGACTAACATAGAAGGAGGGATATCCAGCACTTTCATGAATGGTGAAGCAAAAGGTCAACAATATTCCAAACTGAATGATGACGAAGAGACAAGGTTCTATCTGTTGAGGATGAGAAGAGGGAGGTTATTACACAACTGCTGTTAAGTTCCCCACAGTCTCCAAAGGATGATTAGGAAGTTATCTATGCTCAGGATCTCACAGGCTCATGTTGGAAGAATGTTACTTTACTCCACTAAAATTCTATGACAAATGTTTAGTCTTCACTATTTCCCTCCTTAGTCATGCATTATGTTCCTCATAATCATAAAACAAAAAAATTGTAAAATGAAGTACTTTTCATTTGTTCAAAGTTAGTGAAACACCATTCCAATTTTGATTTTTGTAATGGAGTTGTTGATTTCACAATACCTTTTGCAAAGCCTCTTCTGTTTTTTCAGGGTTCGTTTTCAGAGCTTGAGAAGCGTCATACATGGGAATAGGCATAAACCTCAATGTGTAGTTCCTAGAAAAAGGAGAATATCATATAACTTTCTATGACCTTAACTCAGTACTTTAGAAAAAAATCCAAAATGGTAGTTGCAGGAGTAGCTTAGAAGACACTAAATCGCCAGACCACTCTAGGCCCCTGATCACAGCCCAGCCATCTCTGGTGCCCACCGGGATAGCAGCCTGGCAGGCTTGTTCTTTGTCAGCATCTCATAAAACAGTTTTGCTTTTTATTTTCAATTACAGTAAGGACAGACTCTTCAAATTAAGGCCAAAAAGATGAACTAAGAGAAAGAGAACTAGTGGGGGGGGGGGGGCAACAGCATCGATGTGAGCAGGGTTTCAGTGACCAGCAGATCTGAAGGTGTCTGAAACCACAGCTATTACACATGACAGCCAGACCCAAACAGATCAAGGGGAAAAAACAAAAACACAATGCTTGCCTGCAAGACACACTCATTGGCAGCCATGAAAACAGGCTGTTCAGTCTCCCCTTCTCATCTGAGCCTCTTGGCTAAGACCAAGTGGAGTCTGGCTCCTTTAAATAAACAAGTCCACAACGTGTGCCTGTACGGGGGATGAGCCCCTGGCAAAGGGCACACTGCTGCTTCACCACGCTGATCTCAGTGGAACTTTTCAGGCTGTGGCCAAGATCAGCCAAAGTCCATGAGGCTCTAGAAGCTGAACAATGTGGCTAGGCCTGGACCTGTGCCCAGGTATTATCCCACTGCTGTCACAGCATGATTACACAGGGGGATACAGACAGGGGGAGGCACTTAGTCTGAGTAAAACAACACATGGGGCTCCAAGTCTGGCCACGACCTCTGATCCTGACCCTTCTACACATGGCCACGGGCCCAGTTGCTTCCTCACAGCAAACCTCACCACTGGAGATGTCTTTTCATTCCCACCCTGAAATGCACCTGTGAGTTCTACAGCGTGGAGCTCAGGAACTGTTGTCTTTTGAGCCACCCTGTGGCATCTGAGGTGCTGTCCTACTTCACTGAATGGGACCCACTGCTACCTTAGTTGAGTTTAGATTTTCAGGGACATTTAGATGACTTCTACTGCAAGAGTGAACGAACAAATAGATCTTAAAATAAGTTACGACCAATGAAGAAATAATGAAGAGAAAACCACTATTATCTTAAAAACAGTAACTTATATGCTACTAATTCATGGGAAAAATATCCTATCAACTTGTAAGGTACCATAATGTAAAAGTATAAGGTTCAGAGAAGGCTATCGTTTCTACGACTTTAATTTTGATCTTAGCTTTGTTTTAAGAAAATTGTCTGTCTTCAGAGGAGCCAGCAAACTGAAATTGGGAGACAATGTCCTCTGTATATAGCTTTGATAGTCCTTCCTCTCATCCAATTTTTATCATGTTACAAGCCAGGAGATTTTATTTAAACCAAATGTAATTTTTGAAACAGTAGAATCTTGTAGCACAGCATACACAACAGCTGTGGGCGAGGGTCTTGCATTCCATCTGGAAACCCTGAGTACTAGGTGAGCTTACTATCAGCTGCTCCTCAACACCAGCGGGGGCTGCAGCCCACAGCCACATCAGGGCAGTCACTGGGACCCCTGCACTCAAATGCAGCCATATAGAAGTAACTGTCTCTCCCTCCTTAGCAGCTTTGCAGTGTGTCAGGAGGAATTTCAGGTGGCTCTGCAGTCACAGTGCCCCCGAGAAGAAGTGGCCCGACAGTCACAGATCCCCCAGGGAGAGGTGGCCATGGTGACTCCATGGTGTAAGTTGCCTTATCCACCTTCTGTGACAGCCTCAGTTCAGAGCAACAGGGCGAGGCACTCAGCAGCTCTGTCCTCCTGGCTGAAGCAGAATCACAAGACTTAGTATCAGAAGGCTCCTAGAGCACATCTGTTCTTACCCTTGCACTTAATGAGAAAAAGGGGCCGGGGAGATGGCTCCGTGGAATAAGCGCTTCCCTGGCAAGTGCAAGGGCCTGAGTTCAATCCCTGGTTTAAAAAAAATGAGAAAAAGAATTTATTGAAGAGATAAAGTCTTTTGGTGAAGACTACAGGCTTGTTGGTGACAGAGCTGGAGGCTGAGAAAGAACTCCTAGTCCTGGTCTAGGAGCTGTGTCCACCACATGACACGGTACACAAGAACTCCTCCTTAGAGACTTCATCTACAGGGAAAATTGTACAAAACGAACACTTCTGCCCCTTTCCAAGGCAAAGAGCTTCTGTTCTGTGGCTCCCTTACTTCCCAGTCACATTTCATAGCTTCTCCATGTCAATGCTACAATCTCCTTGGATAATTTCTGTCTTTAGAATACATGGAAGTTGATGATAGCATGATGACGTGGTTCTCGTCAGAGTTAGTCAAGCTGGAGCCCAAAAGCAAAGAAGGCAGAGGGCTTGCGCCTGCCTGTGTGAGACAAACATGTTCTAAGGAATCTCAAAGGCTGACAGAGAGCCCGTCTCACTTGGCATCTTTCCATTTTTTGTAGGTGTGCGTGGATTTTGTGTGAGCCTGCTCTAGGATGCCAGCCCCGTAGACACAATGCTCTGGACAGAACACACACGCAGGGAAAAGGTACCAATTCAACTGAGCTAATACCTCCTCCTACCTAGTGTCCCCCAAACGAACGGGCATTGTGTTCACGATACAAGTAGCTTCAGGGCATTTCTCCCTTTTTGCCTTGAAAACATCTTGCCTCAACCTCTGTAGTATGGGCATGTGTGTTCTCACTGCCCTGCCTTGCTCTTCTATTTCTAGGTAGCTAGCTATAAGTATTCTTTGGACAATTTCTATTATTTAACAAGTACAGGGACTGAAAAATCCAAAGGAAAAAACAGATTTCTATTTTTAATGAGCAGAATATATTTATATTCTGAGGAAAAGAAAGCTCCTGTATGAGAAAGGAAAAATCAAATTTCTAGTATTATTTTCATATTTAGTTAACCAAGAAAGTACACTTATCAACAAGTAATAATCATAAGCTTTAGTAACGAAGTAACAAAAAGAATGTCTATATAAGACTATATAGTAGAGTCTATATAGTAGTAGAATGTCTATATAGTAATGAGAAAAATCAGCCTCGGGCTTATCATTGATCGAGTTCACTTCTACTTGCTGGACCTTGTTATTTAGCACTGGATTTAAAGTTGTTAGAGTGGTAAAAAAAAAAAAAAAAAAAAAAAAAAAGGACGAGATGAAGCCATCATCATGTGTCTGTCCCCTTGCCTGATTTTAGTCCCAAGGCTATGTGATGTCTTTGGAGGATCAGGCATCTCCGCCCTCACTTTATACATGCGAGGACCCAGGCTAGAAGAGAAGTTGATGTCTTCTAAGGCCCCCTGCCTGGCTAGCGACAGCATAAATCCCAATCAGATTCCCAGAATACTGCTGGCTTCCACTACCCCACAAGTAATGCTGACACCACTGGCTCCTCTGTACTCAGAAAGCACTCCTAGTTAAAACTTACTTTTCCATGGCAACAGCTATGTCTTGAAAGCCTTGTGCGGTAATATTGTTCTTGTCCCATATCACGGTCCTGTTTGAAAATGAAGCCATATACTTGATCAGATACTCCGGAGTAAAGAATTCTCCCACTGGATAAAAATCTCTTAAAAGCAACACTGTGGCATTATGTGAGCAATGAATAATGCTCATGTTTGTTTTAAACAAAATAAACACAGGCTTTCCCCCTAATTTATATTCGCTTGTTGCCTGATGGTGTGACTTCAACGTAAGCCCTCACATAAGCAAAGCACATGCTCTACCACTGAGCCCCACCATGTGGACACCTTTACACCTCGGCCAGGGTGCAAAAACTGCACCTAAAAGTGACAGCACTCACATTAACTTACCATTATATCACGGAGCATTCTGTAACCCAGAAAACTCTAGAACCTGATTGCTCTGATATCCCCCACTAGTACTCTAAATTCTGTATCTAAAGCTAAAGCTATTTAGGGAAAATGCAGAGCACATACAAGCCCCAAACACACACAGGTTTAGCTACCGATACCTTCTCCATTCTAAAACACTAGAGAGAAAAATCTTGTCACATTTTTTCATAATTTTGTTGGCCTGACGTCATCAGCAATTATGGAATTTCTCTCCCTGCTGCCAAGGCCTACATCACTAAAAACAGGACATTGTTTCACTTATTAAGCAAAAAACGTATTTTGGAAGAACCTTTTCGATGTCACCTTGAGAGTGTGTATGCTTGAAAGGTATTTTAGAAATTATCAGTTCACCCTGACACCAAAAATATTTTTCATTTATATAATCCCAACCTCAAGGATTTTACTGCCTTTCCATTCTAATCTCAGTGATCTTTACATACACACAGACTTTCAGAGGCCCTGGTGTGCTTTCTGGCCTTTGGCTCCAGTTTAGACAGAAGGGTCAGATTCTGCCATTGACCCGAGAAGAAGAGAAAAACAGGGAAAGAGCTGAGGTGCAGCATGCATGGGCACTTTCTCCCCTGGACAGATGGACTCAGCAGCACCCTGGTCTCTCTGAATGAGGACAGCAGCAGAGTGCCTGCATCCCTAGTCCTTTACAACCCATGCTGAGGAAACATTAGGGTCTGTGGACAGGAGAGTAACTTGCCTTTGAACCTGAACATTTCTGTACCCCTGTGCTTTAAGTCTTTATGTTGCAGGGGTTGAAAGTGAGAAAAGACTTTGGACCCAAAACTCAGGACCAACATGCATGAAATCAGGGCATTTTGGTCAGTGATAAACCACAAATTTTATTGCTTCCTGACATTTAATTTGTGCAAGTATATATGTGCTTGATGTCCGCAGAACTATGAAACCACTGCACAGCGCTGCCTAGAACTTGTCCTGTTGAGCAATACAGGACCACTGGGGAAAGTAATCCTTTGTGTCAGCCCTTTCTACTGTCTGGCTGCTCACTACGGGGTCTACAGACCCTTTTTTGCTTCTCAGTCCAGTCACCTGAACATCCAGCCACTGCCAGCACCAATGCGGACAGGAAACTATGACATGTCTCAGGTTTCACCTTATGACAGAAACGTTGAAGGCAACAGTTTGAAAAGAATCACTGTCAAAATCTGGAGACTTGCGCGTGTCATCCTACCAAGACTTAACTGCAGGCCCTCGTCCCAGCTGTCCCGGCAGCGCCTACCTGAGCTTGGTGTTGATCTGCAGGGCCTTGGCCAGCATCTTTGCTCCCATATCCCCCATCCCATTCCCGCTGATGTCCACCTTGGTGAGGGAGGTGTTGCTTCCCAGGGCGTTGATAATAATGGTCACTTCGGTCTTGAGTTTCGAGTCGGCCAGGGACAAGGACTGCAAAGGCTGTAGAGTAAACACCAGGCAGGGCTCAACAGTGCCATCAAAGTAGCAGTTCCTCGAGACTCCTTTCCTGAAGAATCCAGGCTACATGTCCCTGGTCTTCAATCTACTTGTGAAACTACTGCCTAAAAGTCACTCATGGCTTGAACCTGAAAGTTCTGCATTAAAATAACCCGTGGAATGAAATCTGGAGAAGTTGGGGTTTGGGGCTGAATATCTGGGGCTTCGCCTCCCAGGAAGCTATAAACCAGCTCTGTTCAAGGGGAGAACAGGATAAGATAAATAAAAACAGGACATGACACCCTCAACTTCAATGTAGTTACGCTCTTGCTCCTTACCTGTTTAACTTGTACACAAGGTGAAACGATACCTTAAAATACTACTATAGGACAAATGCAAAATAAAAACCAGTCAAAATTTTGTTCAGTTTACTATCTAAACAATGACTGTGTCTAACCACTGTTTAAGCTTCTGACATATACTGATTCACTTACTCCTCCCAATCTCTCAGTACTTGGGTGCTACAATTATTCCCATTTTTCAAACATGAAACAGAAAGGTTAAGCATCTCAACCAGTGACAATGATAGAACATACACCAAAAGGCCTGGCTCCAGAGTCCATGTTCCGGACTACTATGCTATGCTGCCCACTTAGCTAATCTTGTCACTTCTTGATCATGACTTAACTGTACCTTCTAAGCATCGTTCAGAAGACACATGTAAAATTAAAGGGAAAAAAAAGTCAGCCTTCTGTGACCTTATTTTTCCATACACTAGACAGCGAATCCCAACCACCATACTCTTGTCCATTTAAGGAACAGCTGGAAGTCCCTCAGGCTGGCAGCAGGCTTTACTTGACCTGCAGGGTACTAGACCAAATAACAACAACAAAAAGAATACTCCCCGTCTGTGTGATGTACTCTGCTGCCTGGCTAATGCCATGGGCACCTGGGCTGAAGGCTTGGTGTGAGTGGGACCTGAGCTAACAGAGTGGCTGAGAGCTCCAAGGCCTAAGCCAGTGAGGGGACTCAGATGGCTTCCACCACTGTATGAAGCAGTCTACATCAGCCATACTCACAAGCAGCTCAAAAACCTCGGGGAGGTGGATTCTGGACGTAGACTCAGGTTATCTTTGACCATATGCCCTGGTGCCTGTGGCCTCCGTGCAGAACCCACGCAGTCTAAGACATGTCTGCATCTGCTCAGCCCCGCCGCCCTGACTTCCATGGCAGCACCTGAGAGGCGGTCTCCACCGCAGGGCCAAATCATGGGGAGCTGCACGTGACTTCCAGACTCTGCGATCAGCAAAGAGCCGCTACATGTTTGACTGTGTATTTGCCGTCATTATCATCCCAATTACATGGTTTTCAAACTGAATTCATCCATTATGAAATCAGAAAGCATCAGTATACTAACTATAATAAAATTGATGAAAGCTAAATAGACTGTTAAGCATGAAGGCATTAAAGCCCTAGCCCAAAAATCTGCACAACTATAGACTCAGGTAGATTTAGAGAGGTCGCTTCCATTCAGCTAAACAGAAAAAAAACAAATGCTACAGATTCAGGCAAGGTAATGCTTTACACAAAAGCAAATGCAGCATTGTTTTAATCAAAAGCTGCAATCACATCTCTCATCATTTCAACCATCCCTATTCAACTACCACAGAAGTGATACATTATGGCTTCTTCCTACTACTGGAAAAGTGCCAACTCTCCAAGCTAGTGCGTAATGATTTTTAGCACTATATTCAAATTCTAATACACCCCAGTTAACACTTAAAATAGGTAGATTCATTAATGTGAACAGAAAAGTCTGAATTGCATGCATATTTATAAGGTCATCCCTTCCTGATTTACTGCACAGGCATGCACCACAACTATCTGAAATCTTACTGTTTCTTTTCAAAGCTGAGCCTGCTTATCTGAGATTGTCTCCTGGGTCCAGGCACTCCCAGGAGAAACACATTCTGTTCTGGCTACAATGTGGGCCTTGACTCAGATCAAGAATCTCTGCTACCCTGGCCCTCAATACCATCCTGGGATTCTGGCTACAGTAGCCAGGACTGCTGTCACCTGCAGCTGGAAGTGACAACGGTGTCCCATGGAGGCATCCAGGTTTCAATTGAGTGGAACATGTATTTCTGGGAGAATGTAGTGTCCCTTGGGCTGTCAGAGAGGCAGCTCTACAGACAAAAGATCAGAACAACAAAAGCAAAGAACACTTTTATATACTCCAAACTCTTAGTAAATAAGATTTTTAAATGAGCCCCACTGTACCAGCTCTCTATGGAAATTGGGAACTCATGAGACTACACTTTTTTTTTTTTGTTTTGGGGTACTGGGATCGAACTCAGGACCTTATACTTGCCAGGCAGGTGCTTATGCCACTGAGCTATATCCCTGGCCCATGAGACTCAACGCCTAATGATTTAAAATACTTCTGCACCCCACTGATTCACAAGTAAGAAAAAAAGTATTTTTTTTTGAGTCACCTATTTTGCAATGCCATGAAAATGAAAATCTATTCATTGTACAGCATTAGTAACACATTAATCAAACTTAGGCTTGACATTTACATAGCAAACACCACCATCTTCAAATAGGTAAATGAATTTTACATGATTATGTTAAGAGATTTCAAGAATTATGGAAATAGTTTGATGATACCGTGCACTAAAATATGGAATATATACTTTTTGTAAAATATAAATTTTCCTAATATGTGTACTAAGACACAAACTTTTTTTTTATTTTTTTATTTTTATTTTTCAACAAATAATACACTGCATATATTCAAGACACAAACATTTGAAAACGAATATTAAGTACAGTTCTGCAAATTAACTTCTCTAATCATCTAAAATCAGAAAAACGGAAATACTAATAGTAGTTCAGAGTCAAATGTGTAAAACAAATAGGTGAAATCTGAAAAGTATAAATTACATCCTAATTACACCTCTAATTTTAATAACCCAGCATAATAGTAACAAAATATGGGGGTTTATTCCAAAATGAAGGCAAAGAGAAGCACTTGAATTCATTAAACACTAATGAGCTTAAATTTTTTGACCCTAAGTTAGAAACTAGAAGCACATTGAAGAGACAAGAGAACCGAAATTCCTCCTGGCAGCCAGCTAAGAGCACCTCTACAGGTGCGGCAAGGACGAGGGCAAAAAAGTTCCCATTCCTGCCCCTCTGGGCCCTTGGGCCTTCTACTTTATATCTGTAATAAAACTCTCAGTTATTTTCTGGGTATAAATCCAAAAGGAGGAATGGTTCTTTATTCAAAATGTGCCACACTTCATCTGATTAAGTGAGGAAATTCAGTCTCATCACACAGAAGAGTAGCCCTAACAACACACGAATAGTATGCCTCCTCATGTTCAAATTGACTTGGATTTGAGGAACTATGCAGGATGAATTTGGTAACCAGAGAGGACTTGGAGAAGAAAGAGGCAAAACTTTCAAGTACACCAGTAAATCATGAGATCTGACACACCAGCTCTTAACTGAGAAGTCCATGGTAGAATGCTTCTTACTTTGTCAGTAGTATGCCTTTTGTTCTTAATATAGCTTAAAGGGCAGCAAAATATCTGAAGTTAAATTTCTTACCCTGGAGCTAAGCTTTGCTCAGGAACAACTAAAGGGGATAAAAATACCAGGAGGACTACTGGAGCTCAAGAAACACGGGAAGACGAGAGGGAATTTCCCTAGTCTCTTGGCACTCTGCACAGTTACTTCCTGCAGAGCAGGAGGATGCTTCTTAGAATTACTTAAGATCGAAGAGTCAACTAGCTGACCTGCAGATTGGCACATTGGCGGAAGTTTGGAAATGGTACAGTGAATTAAAAGACAGGCACAGGGATCCACAAGTAATTTTTCAAATTCACTAGTTATTGTCTTCCTTTAATTGGTATTGAATGAAATAAATGATACATTTTTAAATACAATTCTTTTATTTTAAATACAATTCTACTAAAGCATATCTAATTTTTTAAAAATAAACAGAAAATTTACACTTAAATAAAATTATCAGAGAGCATTTCTGGCATTAGTCCAGGAGAAATAATCAATAGGCAATGAATAACAGACATCAGTCAAAAGCATTTAAAGTAATACTCACTGAGTCTTCATCTTGAATCATCTGCACTAAGTTGTCCAAGATAGGTGTCAGATTTCTAAAGAAATTTTAAAGATGTGGACAGTGAAATCAAATCAAAAGTTTTCAGGAGGTTGGTTATTTTCATCATTGCTATATAAACAAAATTTTAAAACTCTTACTTGGATTTCATATTATTAAAATTTTTGCCCAGTGCCAGGTGCTGGATTGATCTGTTTTTACTCAGCCACACTATTAAAGTAGATAGGTCAGATTCTAGACCTGGAAAGAATCAAAGTAGAGAAATCAAAACACATGTGTATAAAAGACTTCTCTGCTGGAATATAATTGAGTGAAGGTGACACCCAGTTGGACGGCTTCCTGTACTGAGCTTGGGATTGGGCTGGGAGCCTAGGAATCTAATCTTTTGTTTTCAAGGGAACTCTCTGCCATCTTTTCATGTTCTATTAATCCACAGGAATAAACTCATTCTCTACAAAGATTTATCTAAATCTCTTACACAACTGGTGGTTAAGCGAAGTCAGCAGGATTGGAGCATGGATGACGGCAGAACACTGTATCTGTCCCCATCTCTTGTGAGACAGGATGCCAATACACACCGACAGAGAACTGTAGTTAAATTTGCCTGTGCACATTTAATAGATTCCCAGCCCCGTCAAAAAGGAGCAAGTAAACTTCTGAATATGCAAATAAGGTCACAATTTTATTATAACCAATAACGTAAAAAGTTGGGCTCAGATTTTTATTAAAGTATTGCTGTTACCGACTTTTAAATTAGTTGTTTCATAACACAGAACTTGGGTATTTGACCAAGGAAATCAATTTAGTATGATGTTGGCAAAAATTTATTCCACCAATAAACTCTAATATTAAATGTTAAATTTTTATTATTTAAAAAATTAAATAATACTGTTCCTCAAGATGTTGAAGGGCTGGCCTGACAGCTCAGCAGACTAAAGCGCCTGCTTTGGCAGAGTGCAGTGGCCAGGCTTTGACCCCAGTGTGCCACGCCGGCCCTGCCCCTGGGGCACGTTGAGACAAGATGGAGATTGGGCATGATGGCACACATTATAATCCCAGCACTTGGGAGGCTGTAAACAGGAGAGTCCGATCTACGTAGTGAGACCCTTAACACCCTGTAGACCCTTCCCTAAGTACAGCAAGGAAGGAAGGGAAGGGAAGGGAAGGGAAGGGAAGGGAAGGAAGGAGAGAGAATAGAATAGAAGAGAAGACAAGACAAGACAAGACATTGGCTAGATTAGAGTAGAAGATTACTTTCCCTTCCTAACTTGCTTCATGCGGTATTTTAGTTTCGTTTCTGATACCTGACTCACCATTGTCGGAGATGTCTAAGCTGGTGATGTTGTGGATCTCAGCAATGCAGCCTTCTAAGACTTGAGCTCCTCCTGATCGCAGCTAGAGAGGAGAAGCAAAGGCAAAGTCACACCTTTATCCTCCTTGAGGTGTAACTAGTCTTAAAGAGCTACAAACTCCCCGCCAAAACAGCAGTTACCAATGGCAAAAACCTATAATCAATGGAAGAGAAATGCTGTTGTTTACCATACACGATCTAACTCTAAACCCTAAAATCTAAAGAAACAGAAGAAATATGGAGACAATGCAGATTTGCTATAAGACAGTATATACTAAGCTGAAGAGACATTCTTCACTTCTAACTTTTAAAAATCTAACAGCTCTGTCTTAGGTATAAGCAAGTCACTGTTTCATTATATCTAGTGTTAAAATATTCATTCTCTACTAGTAGAAAACAACGGCCCAAGAAAACAAACCCAAACTTTTATGAAGCCAAAGTCTATGTCATGGAGATAACAGGTTTTTAATTTTTTTGTTTGTTTGTTTTTTTCCTATTCTGCAAATATTTGTTGAGTTCCTCCTCTGGGTAAGAAATTGTGCAGGATGTGCTATTTCCCAAGATGTGGCCTTTTTGCTCAGTAGACTTACTAATGAGAGAGAGGAAAAAGAACTGTCACAAATAGGGAACCTACCAAAGCCAAGAAACATGGGTCCATTTTTCAGGTGGGAACATTAAAATTTATATAAATTTCAAAATCCAATTCTAACATAAGGTGCTTTATTTATTTGCTGAATTCTCATTTCACTATTTCACATTTTGAGTCCAAAACCCTCTTGTACCTGAAGCAGAATCTTACATAGTTATTTAGGTTTGTTTTTTTTTAATTCAAGAATATTTTGGTTGGTGTTTTTAATTTCAGCCATTCCTACTTTACAAGGTGATAACCAATTGTTCTGAAGTATCTAAAAGAGCTCACACAGAGGTGGAACGCTCAAAGAAACTGATACCTCTACTTCAGGGAAACCCATGCCACAGCCTCAGCGCTTCTAAATGAAAGTATGGACTGTCAACAGTGGCAAGCACCAGCTCCTCACACTGTCTGGCTGTCTTTTGTTGGGACTGATGCGGTATGAGTCCCAGGACCCCCTGCAAATACTAAAATCTGAGCATGGTCAAATCCCTTGACAAGATGCAGTATGGTATTTGCATATAACCTAGTGACACTGTCTTGTATGCCTTAAATCACTTCTACATTACTTACAATACTCAGCGTAAGTGCTGCATAAAGTTATACTGTATTGTTTAGGGAACGATGGGGCGGGTGCTTCTGCACACGCTCACTATAGACACGGTTTTGTTGTGGTCCAAATATTTATAATCCATAACTGATTAAATCCTTGGGGGTGGATTTCAAATATACAGAGACTCTGCTCTATCACTTCCAGGGCTGCAGATCTCCCCAGATGCCCTTAGCATGCTTCTCTCGCCTTGCCACCCCCAGAGCCTCCCCGCACCCTGCTACTCCAAGCGTGATCGCAGACAAGCGCTGGTCTGCTCTGAGTTTGTTACTGCTCTGCATCAAGTAAATGCAGGAATCAAGCGTAAGTATTTTAGAAACCTTGGCAGCAATTTTAGATCCCTAACTAATCATTAAATGTCTAATAATTAAACATAAGGACTTGTATATTTTATGTCTTTACGTGTGTAGTAATTCACTTATAACAGTTACAAAAGTATTGGATTATGATCATTAGAAATATTTTATATAACACAAAAACAAAACACAGGTTCTTCCCCATAAGTAGTTCTGAGAAGCACTGTTACAGGCCAGTTTGTCAGCAACCGAACACGTAAACATGTATGTATGCAGACTGCGCGTGTAGACTACATCATAGGTAAAGGAAGAGCTCGCTTAAGCAAGTGCTTCGAGGAAACTCACTTCCGCTTTTAGAGCATGGAAAAAAGATAATCTTAAGGAGATTAAAACAAAAGCTCATAAATATTTACACTTCCATATTCGCTGACAATGATTTCTCTGTTGAGAAATAAAATTGCTAGAAGAAAATCTCCAAATTCTACCATTATATAGCAAAACTTTTCTATTCATAGAAATGAAAAATGTAAGTAGGACTTACATGTTCACTTCTATTTAATAAATATTCTTCACTGATAATATTTGTAACATTTGTGCATAAAGCTAATATATATTTTAAGATAATCCAATATACTAATATAGCCTAACTTACTGATTCATAAAGTACTTACACAGTGGCCAAGCTAAGGGAAGCCAAAGAGAAAACAGAAAAAAACATCATCAGCAGCAGCAGAACAAGAAGAATAAAGAAGCTAAAGTCTATCAACACACTCGATAAAAAAGGAAGGAGTTCAAAGAAACATTTATAACTAAAATACACTCCTAAAACAAAATCAAAAATTTAAATAACTGATTTTTAGTTACCAAAGTATTCAATTAGATTTACACATTATTAAGTGCCCAAAATTCCCCCAAAAGCTGGAGCCATCCTCAAACAGTAAAAGCTTTTCTCCATTACTATAGATGAAAACCTTTTAAATGAATTTGCATAATTAGAGCCATGCCCGCATGTATGCATGAAACCAGTTTTTAAAATTACCCTCATTTGAATCCCACACACTGGCTTTATTTAAAAGCAAGGAAGATCAAAGAAGAGTAAGTGTGACTGAATCATTGAACACTTTTCAAAATGTTAAAAAAAAATCGTGTTTCTTTTGAGAGTAGTTTCCTCCCACTCATTTTAGATGCTACTCAGCATTCTAAGTGAAAAGGTGTATCTAATACTCAGATACCCATAATGAGGGAAAAAGGAAGCTCCCCCCAAAGCCCCTAAATCCCACTGCTTTTTGATAATTTACTTTTCTGAATATTATCTGTCATTTAAAACGTAATAAAACATTTTAAGTATAAAATAATACTAGACTTATCTATTTTCTCCTATACGGGTTCCAAGTTTAACAAATTAATTTTTAACCCTATTTTCACATAAATAGTATAAGTTCTCCAAAGACACACACACACAAGGAAAGACTATACAACATTTAGCTCAATGTACAGCTGCTAGGAGCGTTTGACACCAAGTGACAGTTTTATACCTAAAAGTGATAAATGTAAATACAGTTATTCTGAGGGGCAAAGAGCTGCATGTGTCACAAAGCTCGTGTGTGTAGCCTGCCATGGGAAGCATGCAGGTTTGTGTTCTGTACCTGGCCTGAGAGGGAAGCAGCAGAGGGGAGGTGCACGAGGCTCTACATGACTATGAGACTAAATGGAGTTACCTTCAGAGTTTCTACTCACTTGCTACAATGTCCTACCTGTTGCAAATTTTAGTATCTTTTCTATTCATCATCGACTGTCAAGAGGCACATGATAATCTGGGGGACATTCTCCCCTTGAAGGGACTGTCACACCTAGATTTGCAACTAATCCTACGTACTAGTTAGTTTTTCCATCTCAGACACAATCAGAGCCTTTCCTCTCACTTAGAAGGATAATAAGCTTAAGAATTCATTTCAAATATTTATCAATTCTTCTCTTGAGTTGTGAAGAGAAGAATCATCGAATAATGATATTACACAATAATCATATTATTATAGGTAATATGATTAAAAAAAAACATCAGAACACACAGATCCCCTGCTTCCCTTGGGGTGAGGGCACGCACACAACTCCAGGATCACTAGTACCACACAGGACAGTCTCACATGTCACGTCCTCAGGAACCAGACTCGAAGGAAAGGGACACACATTTCTGTGCCTAACTGCACGAACGCTGAGCCCTGCGCCTTCGAGAGTGAATTAGGAGCAGCTGCAGGAAATCTGGACACACTAGAGACACTACTACACTGTTTCCAAAATCAGGTGTAACCCTACAATCATGAATCTGATCCTTCTTAAAGACCCAAGATGGCATTAAAGGCAATTCCAAAACACGTTTTTGGTAACTACGGAATATTATTTACCAAAATACAAAGAATATATTAATAATAAAAAACATTATTTACTAAAAGAAAATGTTGGTATCTTCTAAATAAAATTTTAGAAAGGCAATATGGGACTTATACTATAAATTCTGACACTCACAGCTCCCCACAGTAAAGCTCTTTCTCCACAAACAATGGCTCTCGCTCCGGAGGCCCAGCCAGGTGGCACTGTGCCACAAACACTCCCTGAGAGCTATTATTATGTACACTCAACAGGTGAAAAACAACGGCTGGAGGGAGGTAATCATTTTTCCAGCCAAGTGCTGGCCCCAGGTGTGGATGGAGCCCCCTGCTTGCAGCTCTGCCCCTGGTTGTGCACTCCTTCGGACCCCAAGACTACCATGAGACATTTTCTCAGTCAAAAGAGAAGACTCTTGCAGCACTAAGAGATCAAGGGGCTGGAAATGAAGGGATAATGTCAAGGATGTGGACCACATTAAGGGACCCAGGGAGGCTGACCCCTATAAGAATGGAGGTTACACAAGGCCACACAAGATCAAACAAGGTTAATTTCACTACTAAGCATTTTAGCCCTCACTGATCCAAAAGAATACAGACAACACTTTTGGATTTAGTTCTTCAAATATTGACCATACTTGTCTAACAGAAAAGCAGTTCTGTAAGTCATAAGTTCCTGCACATACTTTAATCACATCAAGTGGGAATCTCTGTCAATCAAATTACTGAATGCAAAATAGCTATTTCAGAAAAACTGAAATATTCTAAGATCTACAAGAAAATTCTGATGTACAAAAAAGGAATATGGCGCATAGTTCCTTTCAAACCAGTTTCCTTAAGCAAAGTCGCCGTAAGCTTGATTCCTCCTTGGTTGCCCTGTCACCTCCTCCACCAGCATCGCCGATGATGTCTTTTACCTTCTCTGGCTCCTACATAGGCCTGATTAAAAACTCATTCCTCCAACCCCCTCCCTATCAAGAGAAGCAGTGAATCCAGATCAAATACTCTACACAGAAGATGTTTTATAGTAAATTACTGACACATGGACATAAAAGCTTCCAGGTGTTTCCCTGGGTCCTGTTTCCATGGCTTGGGGAAGCTATCAGCTCCCAACAGAAGAGGGACTGGGCAGTCAGGGCCCACGTCAGGAACTGCAAGGTTACATGCAGCACAAAGCGCCAGCACTCTGCTGCAGACACCTGCTGCCTCCGAACACAGGCCTGAACCAGGAGAAGCGACCGCCCATCAGGTCCATGGTGACAGGGACAATATTCTCCATCATCTTTTGGATTTTTAAAATTAATGTATCTGTTCATAGGAGAATCACATAAATTTTTCTGTGATTTTTGACTAGTAAGCTCAAAAGGGGTTCTGCGCACTTTGGACAATCTACACCTGGGTGACGGTAACCTTTTAGGTAGTGAAAGCTCCTTTCTGAGTGCACTAAATAAATTCAGAAATACCAAATGAGAAAGAATAAAGGCAAATCCTCAACACACCAAGCATCCAACTTGGTTACATGGCAACTCCAAAGGCCTTGCAGGGAGGTTTAATATCATAAAGAGGAACAAACTAATACGTAGTTAAATTTGGATATCTAGCCTAAGCAACAATAGGTGACAAAACATTGTAAAACAGCTTAAAAACAGTATCACATTCCACCAGCTTTCATGAACAGCTATGTGTGAGTTTATAATGTGGTCACCAGTGTTGTAATTTAAGCTGTAAGTTGGTGATGAACATGATACTAAAATACTTTCAAGGCTTCTCTTTCTCACAGGTATCAGTTTTTCCTATTATAAGTAAAGAAAAACCCATAATTAAGTTGGGATTATCATAATAATAGTGGTCGATCACATCAGAGATTAACCATTTGATCTGAATTTCTGTCTTAAAAAAAAAGTGATAGGGCTGGTGAGATGGCTCAGTGGTCTAAAGCACCTACTCAGAACAAGCTTAGCAAAGCACAGGGACCACGGTTCAATCCCCCAGCACCACATGCCAGCCAGCCCCGCCCCCTGGTGGGCTGAGCTGGCTGCACACAAATACATAAATAAATAAAATTTAAAAAAAAAAAAGTGATAAAAGTAAGTCTACCAGCAATTAGACTAAATCCTAAAGGACTGCCTATACAGCCTGACATTTTTGACCTACAAAAATACCAATTTTTCTATGCCTTACCTACTCTGTCTTTTTGAAAAAAGATTTTATTTATTTATTTATTTATTTATGGCAGAACCGGGGATTGAACTCAGGCCCTTGCTCTTGCCAGGGAAGCACTTACTCCACTGAGCCATCTCCCCGGCCGCTAACTACTCTGTCTTTAAACAATTCCAGGTAGATTACAAAGATGTCTAGGGAACAAATCATACGGCAATATAACAGTATTCTTTGAGCACATGTCCTATATCACTGCATTGAAGAAGAAAATGTTTAACCACACTTCATAGTCTAATAGTTTCCACCATCAATATTGTTATTAATAACAGAAAATCAGGTTAGAGTTTTCACTATGGCTCTGCCTTTCGTGAGCTGGACCATTTCCGCTTCTTTAGACCTCAGCTTCTTCAACTATAAACAGGGCAAGAAGATGATAACTTACTCGCATTCCAGCTTTATCACAGAATGAAATAAAAGATGTTAGCATAGGTACTCAAGGTGTTTCGTCAGGATAGTAAAAACCACATCATACACATCACGCCAATCAGCAGCTTGATCTCACAGTGCTGTCACATGAATACTAATCTTCCTCCTTTGAAAACCCCATTCCCTTCATCTCCTACTCTAACAAAGGTTTTAATTATTGACACACCCCTTAGTAAAGTGCTCCTGAGCAGATTATTCCTACCGTACTGCCCCTGTGGGTTTCTACTTTCTAGTCTGTTTGGGTAAATGAAAGACTACTGATTTGCATATAATAGTTCCACAGTGAGGGGCCACTTTTGAGGGTCATTTTTTAAAAATAAGTTTTGCTTTTCTTTTTTCCCAACAAGTAGCTCACAATACTGATACTAAAACCCTAAGTTAGGGGCTGGTGAGATGGCTCAGTGGTCTAAAGCACCTACTTAGAACAAGCTAAACTAAGCAAA